TCCTCGCAGAGTGTATGATTGGGCGGAATTATTTTTATTTTCCCGCCCACGCATTTCTCCAGTGTCAGGGCAACGAGAGCCTCGTTAAGGGCAAAGGACGGTGGCCACGTCAATGGATGCATAGATTACAAAGGGAAGCCATCTGATGCATATAACAAAGACTTCTCCATTTTTATTTGACGGGTTTTGATTATTTTCTGAAGTTCAAGGTGGAGTCCGCCTACAGTAAGATTTGTCAATAAGATATTCCAGCGCCCACGCGAAATTATTCCCAAAATCGTCTCGTTTTGTACCAGTTTTGTGTATGCATTTTGGTTGTTTGTAACTGTTGATTGTGACTAATCGTAATGCAAGAATCATTTTCAAATTTCCTTTTGTTTTCTAAAAATTGATGAAAAGTGTGTAAGATGTGACTTTTTAAGGCCTATATTTAGTAGAGTGTTCAAGGAGATATAAAAGAGCACCCAGAGCTACATTCTATAGCGACCATCTTTTAGAAAAAAAAAGTCATTTTTGTGCTTAATTGCAATGACAGGGATTTCTGATTTCTGACACGGGTTTTTATCTATTCATTCAAAAGTCCGTCCAGGCTCGGTCACACGTCATAAACAATGAAGTCAGGTCAAAGGTCAGGTCGGAAGGGAAAGAGATGACAAATAGCAATTTAAAATGTAGGCCTATTGCTATAGTCTCAGTCCAGAAACCGGAGACCTTTTTTGGCCTAAACAAACCGGTGTTTGAAACCCAGACGTTCATTTGAGAGTAATTCAATTGCCATCTTGCGAAACGATCATAGGATACGCTCTGATGGCAGTATTGTGATTGTTTAGTGTGACAATGGAGCTATTAAATTGAACAATTAAGCTGCTTTGGGTAAAACCTTGTGCAACCTTGGCCTCCTACCCTACACCAATCATTCACATACACAGATTCGCATTTATGAAGAAAGAACCAACGAGTGGCTCACCTGCTGCATCAGACATTTGAAAAGTCCACCATTAGAAAAGTAAATACACGGAAAGGATGATGACCAATCGATATAGTTTCGCACTTCCTTAAGCTGCAGCAAATGTCACGACGCCATCTGCTTCAGGTGTAGGCTGGTTTACGGCATTCTGACTTGCCTTCAATCTCATAAATCACCGAAGCAGCCCTGTCCCCGATCTGGACCGCATCATCTTCCCTCCTTCTGGCAAACCAATCATTCCTGTACACTCTGTAATCGCAAGAAATCAATAAATTGCTGTCATCTTGTGTACACTCGCGCAAAATATTAGGGAGGAAAGTGTTCAGTTGGATGGGGATTGGTGGGCATGCAGGCCGAGGAAATTAGCATCGGCACGGCAGAGTGCAAAGCCTGAGGGAAGGACCTCCAGATGAATAAAAAAAAATATTAAAAAAATCATTATGGCCGGACGGGTTCAAGTGATTTTTTGCTTTTCTCATGCGACGGTACTCCCGTAAGTTGGACTCTGAAGATGACGACAGTCTTCCCGTGGGAGCGTTTCGTAATTGTCGTCAGGCCCAGTTTTACCCCGACTTCGGTCATTCATTTGGCCGAGAATTCCCAAATGGTCCAAAAACATTAATGCGTGGGGTCGCATATTTATTGTTTTTAAGCTGGAAGCAATGTTTAATCATTTGTGTCTTAGAAAAAATATATACCGAATACAGGGACATAAATCAATTACCTCCTGCATGTAAGACTCCGGCGTTTTGCATGTATTCACCAACATTTACATTTTACATGAAATCTAACCATATTTTCATCACTAGTGAAGCACCGTCCATAAATCGAAGGCCTAAACCAATTTCAGGTACGCCACTTTCGCAATTTCCTTTTGAATACTGTCAGAAGAAATGGCGCCTGGATCGACTTAATTGTTATAAATTGAAGCTCATTCCATAAAAAGTGAAAAAAAAAACATTCATGCAGGTATTTGCTCCTTTAGAGTGTTTTAGCATAGATCTATGTCGGACTTCACATTTCTAATGTACAAATATTGGACATTTGAGTCAATAATTATGTTGTTATCGTGATAATTCTTTTCAGTGTAGAATCAGACAATGGGGGGACCGTTCTGATTTTCTTCGTCATATTTGCCAATGGGCTGTGAATTGGCTTGATTAAAAAAGTAATTAAGTGTGTATTGACAAGCCAATGTATTTTTTATATTACGTAAAATAATGTGTCCTCCGGTGTAAGTATATTTTATCATTTACTTGTTCAACACCATTTCTCACGAGTGCCACCACGTGACAGGTAACGAAAAAGGAAACCATGCATATTCATAACCATCAGAATGATGTGTCATTGAAGTACAGTTTGTCTAAGTGTACATTCATACATCCATGTTGCATTTCATTTGGTGTTTTTATAGCAAGACATTTAGATCTCTGTTCCTGTCATTGGAGGTTGCCAACAAAGGTGCTTTTGGCTGTCATCAATGTGCATGAGGTTGTTCTCTGACCAGACTTCATTATCTATCTCCTTAAGGTGCTATATGTACGTGGGTGACCCTCACCGTCGGTGAACCTAATGGGGCTCCGTGACGAAATCTCGGGGTCAAGATGAGCCACTGCACTCCATCCGGCCTCCGGCCCAGTAACCGGACCGTAATCGTTTTACTTAGACCTTGCATGGCCAGTCCTTTAACCTGATCAGTGGGTCGTGTTGCACGCGGATATAGGACATTCGGTGGGCAGAATCAAACGTTAACGTCTCATGAAATTTCCTTTCCACTTTTATTTTTCATCCAAGCTGTTTCAAAATTAATTAAATTCTCGTTGTTTGGAGTGGGAGACCATCTCAGCCCCGTACGTAATAGTCATAGGCCTAACTTGTTTTTTCTTATTCATTTTGGCTTGACAATAATAGACCGTTTCACAGTATTTTCATCATTTTCTATTCCAATTTTGTGATAGCACAAGATCAGAGGCTTCTGCGCGCTGTCTTTGAGGACACGCGAAGAAACAAAATAGTGGGTCAGATACGTTGTCTTATTTGCTGAATCCACAGGGAATCAGTCACACACTGTGCGATGAAGAACAATTTGGTCGTTGGCAGCACGGCAAGGCTTTGGGACGAACTGCAGTTTCCATTCGTAATTTATGAATTGAGGTCAACCTTGAATCGGTCACAATCCAAATAATCAGAGATGAACACTAAGAAACTGGCCAAGCATGTTTGGACCTCCTGCTAGCTTAAACAACATACTGACCAACTCGCCATATTAGCTCAGTCTTAACCGAGTCTTATACCTAGTCTAAATCAAGACGCCATGCGCAACGAACGTGCCAGACTACATCATTCAAGGTTCTTTTTGACCATTTCGTACACATGCATGCAACCCCTTGCCCACTGGACTTTCCCGTTTTAGGTAGTTCTTTCGTTCCCTGGCTATATAATTGGTTTAACTGTTCCACAAACATCTTACTAGTTCTGCAACCTCAAAAAAAAGTCAACCACTGGTACATCCACTTGGTCAGGTACCTGTGATGGACATTCTCGAGTCCCCTGCATGATTAAAGTCACGTACACTTGTAGTTCAATTATCTGGTCAAGTCAAATGAAACAACTTTTGCAGGAAAGGTGTCGGGTCCCGAGGACAAACTGCAGCTTTTCACACACCGGTCTTGGGCCAGACATTGTAATTAATACATTAACCATTTACCTGTCCTCGGCATGTACGGAGACCAAACCATTCCATCAGAATTGGCTTTATTCTTAAGCAAATGAGGGCGCTGTTAAAACGCTATTTTGGGGGTACCAACAGTGGAAATATCACGTTTATTGAAGCAATTTAGCAACTATACCTCGATCTTATAGTAAAAGATTGTAAAAATGTAATTTTGTAAAATAATAGCTACATATATCAATACAAAATAGCTACAATCAATAGCCTGAGATTCACATGTGTTTGTACCTCAAAATGGCGTCGATACAGCGCCCACGTTCGTTCAAGAGAACAGTTTCAGAGGTATTTTGTCTGCTGCCACCAAGGGGTCAAATACGGTTAGTCACGTAAAGTTTACGAGATCAAGATCGCTTCCTGATCCCGCAAATAAAAATCATGGGCCTTTATGCACCATATTGAATTGAAAGTGAGGTAAAATCTTAACGTTTGGAACTTGTGAAGAGAAATGAAAGCAAGTAAATTACTTATAAATTCCAGTCTGCTTCGATGAAATGTTTCATTTGTAAAACCGGTAAAACTAATTTGCGAAAATGTAAGTAAAAAATGACAAACTGCATAAGATATAACTTTAAAGGCTTTTGCAAGCATTTTTTTCCATCTGGTAAAGAATAAGTTTTTTCTTTCTTGAACGAGTCATTTGCTCCATAAAAGAAATGGTTTTTACCAGTGGTTGTAATTACATTTCTTTCATTCTTTTATTCCCCTAGATCCATCCTTTCAGTATCAGATCTTAGATCCTTCTTTTCACTATCAAATCTTGGATCCATTCTTTATTGAACCAAAGTTATACTAAGGAACGATTCGGTACCCAACAATGAGATATCATGTAGTCACTCTAGGAGACTAAGATAACCTTCGGTAATTGTGTGTAATCAATGAAGAAAGGTACAATAAAATATTCACGCAACATGGGTTCATATTGGGATTATCCATTCTACGCAAACCAAATTTTGCGAGAACAGTCAAAAGTTTGTTGTCTATTGCCAACAAGAGTTTGAAAAGGGTTAGTTTGGCGAAGTCTACGAAAACAAAATGGCTTCCTGCAGATTGAATCAATGATTGGGTGCGTCTGTGTTACTGTTAAAGTATTTTGAACCTTATTACGTAGTTCTGATAAAGTTTTGAAATCTATTTTTAAAAAAATATGTACCGTTTGCAAGCATATTCCATGTGTGGTTTAACTATTGCAAGGTGGCCCCCTTTCATTCCGTGGCACCATTACTCGGGCAGATCGGGACACGTAATAAGGTGTATCCTCCGTCACATAATCACGTGTTTTCATCAAATGTCTTCGATGCGACCATGGTTTACGTTGGGCCTATCGTTTATAGCTTCAAGCCAAACACCAAATGTGCGGTCACTGTCACCTGCAGTGGGCGGTGGGTATAACACGGTGATCCTACATAATCGTTCTTACATGGCATCTTCCCCTCTGCATGGCGAGATCCCGGATCGATGCCACTTTGACATATCTCAGTTTCGGGTTCATCCCGGGCATCGAGCGATCAATCCTTTTGGCTTTTGGGGCGCGTTTAACGTTACTTGATTAGTGTGTGTGGGTGTGAGGGTTGATCCGCCTTGGCCTGAGCTCCAATACGAAATGGGTTGTCTCGTGGTTCAGTGAGATCCAGCTCAGCTGCTGTTGTAAGACTCACCGTGGACCATAAGTCCATATACAGTGTTTCATAACACATTTACATGTAAATGTGTGAAATGAAATAAATACATATAGTCTCTTCTTGTTTGCATGTAAAATGTGTTTGTGCGTGATACAGGTTCGTGGTCTTCCTATCTCCACTAATTTACCAGCACAAGCTGACGCCGCAAAATGTGTATATTTCGATTTTATGGAGCTCTAACGTTTCTAGTCATGCATGGCTTTCGTTTTTCATTCTTTTCATTCAATTCAGTTTATTTTTCAGCAGGCAATAAACAACACCAACGGCATAAAAACACAGTCAAACAAAATTTAGTCTCACGTGAATATTTGTTTAGAAATGGCCGCTGATGTGTCCGTCCCAGCTGTTTTCTGGGACACGTACACTGTAGTTTCATGTGAATGGAAAAAAATGGTTCGTAGTTTCAGTAGAAATTATTCAAGTAGTATACTTCTTTTTGGTGTCATTTGGCCTTTTATGGAAATGTGAACTCCCTACATTCATTTTTTCCTCTTAATGAAAGCGGTCCAATAACATTGTTACAACCTTTGTTTGTGTCCAATTCAACAAAATATATTATTAGCTTGCTACCGCTGTAAGAACTTAGGCATCATGTCATAGTTATGAGTTTACACGTGTGTTGTTAGGGCGGGGTTTGTTTAAGGGGGTTGAAATTGATAAGTGCTACTGACAAAGATTATAATACCTTTTTTCCCATCTCAGACTGGTGGAACTCCGATCATGAAATAGCTAACGGTAGACGAATTTTGATTCAGCCGCCTGGTTGAATAGAGCGAACTCGACGGCCGCTCGATTACACCTTCCTCTTTTCATTACAGGTGTGTGGGCGTCGAGCCGGTATGGGTTCCGCACTCTTTGCTCTGATTGTCAGATTTGATGTCTTCTTTGGCCATCTACAAAGGAAGATCCTTTAGTTTTTTTTATTCCCCTCGCAATGTGGGAGAAAGAAAAACAACCATGTTGCACTGATCAACATGATGCCGCACACAATAACGGTTGGGGGAGTGAGCCTGCTTCTGCGGGTATCCGTTTCATGTCTTTAAAAGGGACATCACAAAAGAAAGTGTCTTTCCTCGAAGAGAAAGAAGAAACACGGAGGGGGAGACCAGACTTGATTTCTTCGCATCAACCTTGGCGTGGTCGTCAATGACCACGAGGGATATGGGTGTTTTCTCTTGATGAGCCGCGGAATGGTTCGTGAACATAACAACGGGGGAGGGAGTCGTAGGGTTCACAATGAGTCATTGGTGGGATTTTGTTTTCGTGGGTTAAAGAGTACGAGTTAAATAAACCTTGTCGACAAAGCTACCCTTTCCCACGCGCTGTACCGTTGTGGGCCGAGCTTTATTTATTTGCCGTTGTTTGCTGTTCCGCGAGTTCAATTTAACATTGTTTTGAACATCTCATGTGATGTTCCTCGGCGAATCGCGACCTATTTTATATTAGTTTATGAAGCTTTCCAGGGCGTGAGCTGATGAATCAAACGGGGAGATTTATTCTGTGTGCGGCCGATGTGTGCCCACGCAGCAATCCAGTGATAAATAGTTAAGTTAAGGTTCAGGACGAATTGCGGACATTAATAGTAATCATGTCATTTTCAATAAAAATTCGATCCTGATCGTGCTCTAGCTCCATTGATGACCCGTTTTAGTTAAGTCCAAAGGGCTGGTGTAATCAGCGTGGGCTAGGGGAACCTTGCCTGTACTGTCATTATGCCCCGTGCCCGGTCATTTTACCCCAGCAATGGGTGATTCTCGATGTTCATTTATTTATTGATGTCATTTCGACATGACTGTTTTATAGGTCATAAAATGAATAGTTTGCGGGCAATTTAGCTGGAGTTGCATGGGTATATAGTTGGGTGGCTGTCTCTTAGGATGAACGCCCCCTCGTAAGACGCGGCTTACTGGCGCCTGCCAAAAGTTTTTTTCAAAGTTGTGTGTAGTCAATATCATGCAGTGGCATCAATGTGAATAGACTTTGGCTTTTTAATAAATAACGCTTGCTCTTGAATGCAAGTGACTGTTTAAATTTGGAAACTTTCTCCCCAGATCGGTAAAAACATCCCAGCCTAAAAGGATTAGTTTTAAATATTAGTATTCCATTTGTATTTCGACACAATAAAGTAGTGTCCCGTGCTGTGTTTATTACCGATAATTGAAGATGCAGTTCTGATCATCTTGCTTACAAAGATGTGCCCGCAGACTCACGAGTCCAATCGAACGTGATTAATGCAAAAGGGCAGTGAAGATGAGATTAAAAGTTGGCAAATTTCTGAGAGTTGTACCCAGCACTGAAACTGTATCATACACTGACTTTGAAATGATTAAAGTCATCAAGTGAACTTGCTTAACTCGCAACAGAGGTCCCTTCTTTGTATGCGTCACACGACACAAGAAGTCAGACCAGAGTCGACAGCTTCCGTTTATCATTAGACTTCTGCGTCGATGGGGCGGACAACCAGTCTATCGGGTCTTTGTATCTGTCCACGGAAAAATCGGCCGTTTGAGAACGGGCTTTTCGCTCGCCCACGCAACCATCGATCACCCAGTCAGTACGGGAGAAAACCTGTCATTCCTCTCTTTGATTGTAGTCATTATTGAAGTCGCAGAGATGTGAAAACTCCTCGGCGCTGCTATTAAAATCGATACTAAAACTAGGAGCAGGGGCCACTTCTCATATAAAGGCTCCATTTTTAGGCTGAATACAGTTTTGTCAATACAGACCAAAGCCATTTTGTTTGTCATTTTTAGATGAACTATTTATTACTGTTTTGTTTTGGAGATAGAAGGAGCACCTCATCTTCAACCAACGTCGTGTCTTAGACCCGATTTAACGTCAGCTTTAAGTTGTTGGCAAGACGAATTCAATATAGTTTGCGTTCCTAGCTACACTGAAAAGTTGCCTGGTTTAATTTTACCCAAGCAAGGGTGAAAACTGCAACTACCCAAAATTGGGTTGTCCTTTCAGGGGCGGATCCAGGCATTTTCGCGGGGGGGGGGGGTTCATCGGCTAAAAAATCTGAAATGTAGATAGGGTTTGTTTTCTCCGGACACTTGGCCTCCGAAAATCAAAGGGGGGGGGGGGGGGGGCTCGTACAATACTTTCAATGGGGGCGCTGTAGGAATCCAACGATTATTAACACTACATTGTAGATCACACAATAGTGTACAAATACCCCCTAACCAAGCTGGCTTGGTCCGTATTTTGTGCAAAGGCAGACATTATTACCATTACAAAAAAAATGGGTGTCAGAGCAGGGGGGGGTTCGAAATGTTTTCATGAATTTCTATGGATTTTTTTTTTGACAGAGCTGGGGTTTTTTACCCCCCCCCCCCCGGATCCGCGCCTGCCTTTACCCCATTGTTTGGGTTAAAAATTCTGTTGAATTCAACCAAACCTTGTGGTCATATATCAGACTAAATTAAATTTGGTCTTGTATGACCACAAGTTTTGGTTGAATTTAACGGAAATTCTAACCCAAACAATTGGGTAAAGGACAACCCAATTTTGGGTAGTTGCAGTTTTTACCCTTGCTTGGGTATAATTAACCCAGGTAATTTTTCAGTGTAGAGTGGTACCAATGCAGCGGGCGCATGCGTCTTATTTTGCCGTTTACTTTTCTTCAATAATAGCAATTTCGGGGTCAGAGTATAAATGAATTTAAGTAGACAATTCATCCCCTTAAAATGTTCTACGAGGAAGTATAGGCTAGGCCTACATGTCAAAATACATTTCGTGAATCGTGGCGTATTATTGAAATCAATGCAAATGCAGGACGCGACGGCAGCAATTTCATGTGTCAAATTCGCTTTCTGATTTGTGGCTGGCGTGTGCATGGAAAGTTCTGCCGTTGAAACTGACCAATTGAAACTGAACTTCCAACATTGTTTTCACCTGATTGTCAAATATCAGTTCCCTCCGAATCTCAACTCTGCAATGTTGCTCGCAGTACATCCACAATTCGAAGGTCCTTCGGGGCGACATCTGATTTCTCCCAGGGAAATCAGAGGGACAGGCATCGTGATGATTTCAAAAGTTTCATATCGCAAAAAGCATGGACACAGAGTCGCGCCAGCATTAATGGAGGGGGGGGGGGACTTTAGAATATGAGCCTAGCCGAGTTGAAGTCATCGTAATCTCCTACATCCTGTAGGTCTTGGTGGGCAGAAGTGACATCAATCCACACAGATGCCCAGGTCAGCCAAGATATTTGTCTGCGTTCGTTGACCTCGTGATACGCTTCCTCCCTATTGACAGCGAGGAATTGTGAATTCCTTGTGAATATTACTTCTCATCAACACGGTTTTGGTGAGGTATTGGACATGTGAATTTCAGAGTTTTCTTGCACTTGTAAACTTAAAAAGGAAAGAAATTAATATAAAAATGTGCCTCCCGGCTTTTGGTTGTGTCGTAAATACCTCGTTTAGCTTAACTCGTTTTCTGCACAGGCCGGGGAAGATGAAGTCAGTGCACCTCCGAAGTTTATGAAACGAAAACCGTATGCTAAAATGATAAAGAAAAAAATATGATAAATCTGCTGACGTTGGTCTCTCGTGAATTCCAGCTCATCCTTATGTAATGGCAATACAGTGGAATCAAGGCAGCTTGGAATTTTGGACAAAAGGGGGATTGTTGTGTTCTGCCTTTTTAAAACTATTGATATTTAAACTAATGAATCCCCCGTTCTGATCAAAATGAGGTTATGAGGCGCACATAACAATTATGCCTACAGCATTTAACTGAACGGCAGTAATGCGTACCGCAAAAAAAAAAAGATTCCGGAAATATCTTGTAAAAGGAAGAGTTCAGTTGCAAGCTAGAAGTGGTCAATTTATTATGGAACATGTACAGTACGGCGCTCGGTGCTTTTGTTAGGCGATCTTGTATCCTCGTCCCGGATATCTCCTGGTTCTTGTATTGTCTTCAATTTCAGCCCACCGCATTTCCGCGTTGAATTGTGCGTGGGCGTTCGTCAACGGAGTCTGCAGTTCATAAAAGGGAGCATAATCATTTCTGTGGAATTGCTGGGTAGTTGCGGGATATTCACTATATTATATAGGGAGCCAGTGCGCTGCGCCGCATTTTCATTTTCCCCCACCGTCCGCAATCAGCAGGCATGGTTTATCGTTGTGATTGGTGAAGATGTTTGTATTTCCCCGGGGTTTGTGGCATCTACAAGCTTCTACATGTTCATCAGTCTTGACTGTAGTTTTCCCCCCAAAAATCTTGTATTATGTCCGTTTCTACTGTTTTTGATTCAACATTTTTGACAGCATCCATAGGCTTTATACCGGTGCCTATTAATAGCGTGTCTGTTTTTCTCTACTATCAAAAGAAATTAAAACGTCACAACACACCGCCATAGCTGGCGCAATGTTGAAATTAATCCTAATTGCCTTCGGATTTGGTGATCGAGACAATTCAGCCGGCATGTTATATTATTGACCAAATACGAATCTGCGGCCCAAGTTGCGCAGCGAGGAACTCGGTGAGGATCTCCCTTTTGCTCCGGGATTTTTTACCCGCCGTTGATTGGACAGAATGTTTTTATGATTCTGATTTTGCTTCTTACCCACAGGAGGCGGCGGCACAGGCATTCCATTGGAAACCATCGCCATCCCGGTATCTCTGACCACACTCATCCTAGTCATCGCTTTCCTCGCGGTGGTCTGCGCGCGCAGGTTCAAGAACCGAGTTGCGCAGACGGAGACCTACACCATCCAGCGGAAAGTCTGCTACGAGGCCGACTCGGACTCTGAGAACGAGAGCGGAATGAGCTACGGGAAGGACGGCGCGGGGAGTCCGGGAGCCCCGGGTAGCCCCATCACCTCCCCGCTCAAAGTGCTGCCCCGCCAGGCGACGGTGCCGCTGCTACCGCAGAGGGTACGGCAGGAGGCGTTCAAGCGACAACGCCAGCTCTCCCTGCAGCTCAACCTCGCCAACATCGAGTTTTCCGTCAAGAACGTCCACCGGAAAGAACAGCCACAGCTGGGTGCACTGAGGCCCGAGCTGTACCGTGACAGCTCCCAGGATCGGGGTGGTAAGGACTCGGACAGGTGCGGTAAACTCTATTTCTCGCTCCAGTACGACCACCCTACGGAGTCTCTGCACGTCCACATCGACCGGGCTTCTGGTTTGCCCGCTAAAGACTTCTCGGGAACTTCCGACCCCTATGTTAAAATCCACCTGTACCCAGCGGACCGAAAGAAGAAGTACCAAACGAAGGTGCACCGGAAGAATTGCGACCCGTACTTTGACGAGAAGTTCACCTTCAACGTGCCCTACAACGACCTGCCAGACAAGACGCTGAAATTCACCGTTTATGATTTCGATCGGTTTTCGCGGCATGATCTGATCGGTGAGGTGACGATCACGAACTTATTGGGTCATGACCGAGACCTCGTCAAAGGAGAGCGCTTCGAGGAAGATGTCATCAAATGTTCAGCACAGGTCAGTTACTTCCAGTCCGTGTTAGTTACCATATCTGTTAATTATGTAACGGGACTGTAGCAAACATTTTCATGGGGCATAATGAAGCTCTTGAGGGCAGCAGACATACTGAACCTGCTTGTATCGGTTGCGTATTTCAAGAATCCACCTTAAGGTGAAATAACAGTTAATTGGCCAACTAAATAGGCCCTTAATTTTTAGGTATAAGATTTCGGCGATTTTGGAAGTGGCCAACTGAACCACATGAAAATCCTTCAACAGAACCAAACCATACCTGTCCAATGGTGTATTGTTCACTAACCTTATTTATGAGCTTTTTAGCGTCCACTCTTAAAACAGGCGTCTCACCCCCATTAACAATTTGTGTCGACAAAAACATTGTACTGTTGGCAAAATCGTGTGTCTGTTGGTAATTATGCCATAAAAAAAACAACTCCATCTTAGTGTCCAACAGTGTCGAAAAGATCATCGCTCGGTGCCCTCATTAGTTGTTGTTGATGTTTTTGTTTTGTTTTTGCGGCGGCCGGATAACCGGGGGAGGGGGATCTGAGTGGATTTCTTCAATCGCGGAGTGCTCTGTTAACAAGGTTGTTGCCCCCCCCCCCATTCAAATCTGTCAGGCGACGCCTGTAGGCTCTATAAATAATCGTGTCGTTTGCTCTAGAATTACTTCGTTGCCGTGCACATCCACAAAAATGTGCGCACGAACGAATTCAGAGTCATTTCATTAATTATTGCCACACAATGCACGCAACTTTCCATGTTTGCGTCAGTTTGAACATACACAATAAATATGTTCGCCATCTCATTGCACCTGAAAATCTTACATTCCGAAGTGGTATCGATTGGAATGGCTCATGCTACTTGGTAATTATCAATCTTTCATTCGAAAAAATAGACCTTGCATTTTCCCTTTCTCTCGTGAGCGGCCGCGTTATTCATCTCATCTTCAAAAAAAAAAACCTTCGCACAGCACTAGGGGTCTGAGGTCGTTAAAGCCCTTTTAATCCCCGTCCCCGGGATGCGTGCACGAGAGGTTAGACAACCATTGACTTCACCGTGAAGACGGCGAAATTTAATCACCGACCCATATCCTGCCAGATCCCCGTTTTACCCGGCTGTAGTCCGCACCGTGCGCACGCCGTCATCTCGGTGGGCCAATATCAAGCCCTATTGGCGCTTGCTGACCTGCGAAGCTCCGCTCTGCATATTTACCGGAGAAGTACCTTGATTTTTTCGTCGATTTGGATTTAGCTTTAGGCTCGTGCTCAGAATACGTGCCAAGTTTGCAAAATGCAGAAAGTTTTTATTAAATCCGACTACGGTCCCAGTAGTAGTACACGTAATTATGTTTTTGAGCTGTACGCAGACAGACTTCTAGAATGCTTGTTTGACAAAGGAATTATCTGGGCGGTATTGAGGGTACGAGGCGAGCCATACACGTACGTTGTCTCATACACCCACGTGAGAAAGCCATGCTTCTCCTATATGGAGACAACCGCGACGTGTTGACATAGCACCCACACGAACTGTTCTCCCTAATCTCACTTTATTTACTCTCAGAAAAATGCCCTAGTATGTTTTGATCTCTAGTCCACGTGAAAGCGTCGATGTTATATTTGATGTGAGGCCTCCATGTTTGCCATTTGATGAGGAGTCGCAAAGCGAGATGATACATCAAGACAGAACGGGACACGAAAATAACTGGGTTTTTTTTTAAACAACTTATACGCTCTTTTTTTCTGCCTTGCTCTTTTTTCCATGAAGCAAATGTAGGTCGCTCATACTCTGCAGTGCAAGTGAGCTTTGTGTCATGTACTGTAATTCGGCTTAATTGCGGTCTAAACAGCCCTTCGGAAGTTATATGATCTTATCTTGGAGTAAAGTACCCCGCGGATTTATTATCTCTTCTGAAATGCGGGAATTTATGAAATTGAAAACGCTACTTTGAAAGATCAGAGATTAGGTAGATTTCGCATCCAAGCGGATATGTGAACGGATACGCTAGGTATCCATAATCGTAATCGACCATGATGTTGTGTTTGGCATCGAGTACGCGTGCGCATACGCTTGGATATCGTATCGGGACTGTTTCCAATAAATGAAAGTAGTAGGCCCTAATCCAAAAATGGCAGCATGAAACTCGTATCTGCGGCTAAGCCTGCTTTGTACCACAGACAAATTGAAACTTAATTTTGATGCTCAGAAATTCATCCTCTTTCAGTCAAATCATACGAGAATAAATTTCAGAAAATAGGGTGAATATCGACAATTTACTATAATGTGTTTCACACTGACGGGTGTCTTGCAATACCCGTGCCGTGTACACGCATAGCGGATAGAGAGTTGCGTATGACGTCACAAGATCACACAAACCGATGACATATCCTGCGCACTAACCGTATCCGTTCGCTTGGGAAACTTCTGTAAATATTAGGGCCCTTGGCAGTTGAGCGAAGATATCGGCACATCTACCTAAGTTTGCTGTTTGTATCTTGTCGTGGAGTGTGTGAGGGGTGCGTCGCAAGTAAAGTGCATAGAACAATACACCTGTCTAGCCAAAATATCACACCTATTTTACGAGAACCCGGGGGTAGGTCAGTCTAATTGATTTCCAACATTAAGCGTTGGTAGGCCTAAGTAGGCATATTATTTTCATACCAATTTTTTACCAATCTTGGTAATGCAAGCAGATTTCTTTCCGTGCTGTACTGATTTACATCAGGACAGCATAGGCCTATTTACAGAAGCTTGTCACTACGGCAACCTACTGATTGGGTGACAGGCAGGGCCGATCGCGAACGAATGAATCTTGTCACGGTCGAAGTTCTTGAAGAAAACAAATTGGTTCAATCACCTTTCTCAGTGCAACGCGCGCATAAACAATAATAGATTCGGCTGATGCACCGCGACGTTCGATGACAGTCCTCGTTACTTATATACTCCACGTCTACAACACCTGATAGCAAAACAGATGGTTCCACACGAACTGAAGATTAAGTGATAAACCTTCTGCAAACCTTTACGTTTTCTTACTCCTTCGAACTCGATTAAAATTAATGTGTGCGGAGAAGAGACCTTTTACCCCATTTTTTTTCTTATCTGCCAGGAGAAAGCGGACCTTGGAGAAGTGATGTTCTCGCTATGTTACCTACCGACCGCCTGCAGGCTAACACTTACTGTCATCAAGGCAAGGAACCTGAAGGCAATGGATATCACGGGAGCTTCAGGTAAAGTGTAGGTCCAAATCGGTGTATCAATATCCAGGAGAAGTATGTTACCCACCTACTCTCCTTCCCCTTCTGTTGTGTTTGTCATTTCATTATCGATGGGATGTACCCAGCTAGCTAAGCCCAACCCACCCACTCGGCCCGCCCCGCCCCACCCCGCCCCGCCCCGCCCCGCCCCGCCCCGCCCTGTCCTATTTCCTTTAAAGTCATTAGCGAGGCTCCTCGCGCGCTCCTTTCATTTGGTGTAACCCTATCAGGACCCTTATGAAACGTCTTGTTGCATATAGCGTCTTGTTAAAACGTCTTGTTCGGCCGATCGGCATAACATTTGGTGGCTTTTCTTAACGTTTATCGGGGGTCAATATGGTCTTTTTTTTTGGATTTTTTTGTGGGGCAAAACCATGTTTTCTTTGCCCAATCCTGTGCATATTTACAATTTAGACTAAAATTCATGGTCACATGAATTTCACTTTTTTCCCCCTATTACTTTGTTTTGGGGTACTTTTTTGACCGTTCGTGCAGGAATACGTACAATACGTATGATTTTTTGTATGCCGATTTGGTTTGGGGGAAAATATATTTTGCGAAAAAATCACGAAAAAAAAATGATAATGTAGCTACAAAAAAAGTTGAAGGCATTTGATTGAAAAATGTAGAAATTATTAACAAAATTTTTTTTGGGGGGGGCAAAAATACAGTATTAAAGCGCCCTCCTGTGGTGACCGCAGCACAACCGAATCATGCCATATTATAGATTACCGGCACACAATGACATCCCTGCTAAATTTTAGGATAAACGGCCGTTGCATATTGAGAAGCCCCAAAATACCCCGGTTCTGATAGGGTTAAAAATAACACCGAAATTCACTGATAGTGGAACATGAGCTTTCGAACACATGTTTGTCAAGCTGTATATCTTTCTCTATGTCATTTATTCATGACTAAATATGTACCAAACTGGTATTTGTGCGTAAAATCACAGAAACCGGCAAACAAGGTCAAGGTCAACCGGCAAACAAGGCACGTGAGGTTCAAAAAACAAATTGAGAGTACTTTTGCCTGTGGTTTGTTTTTGGTTTGTTTTACCTGTGCAAAGATAGTTGACGGTTCATTTTAAAATCCATCAATTTAAGTAGCGCCGGAAGAATAAAGGCAGAGCACCTCATCCAATTTAATGAATTTTATACCCAAGTCAAATTGCAAAGGAGACATTAAGCTTTATCGAATGGTTGATGACATACCCCACACCGGCCCTCGGGGGCGGGTATACGGTGGAAGCACTCCACAGGCACCGAAATTAAACAGTCATAACACCGACGGGAAACGCGAGTTGACGGGCGAAGCAGAGCGACGTCACTTGTGTCAACCAAGTCTTGTTATTCTTGTGTAAATGTCTGCATATTATCTTGAAATAGAGTCGATGTTGGGGAGGGAAAAAATCGAATCATTAATAGGTAATATGACTTCCAGGTAGCGGGGGAACAACTTGATATTTTTGAGACTTGCTAATATGGAAAAAAATATGTTGTTGCGGTTTTTGTTTTTCTTTGATTAACAGGGTGACATATGATACTCAAAACAAAATGTGGGGGTTTGTTTTGGCAAATAATCACCCAGGATGATGTTTGTATCGAATGAATCGTTTTCAGAAAAGAAAGAGCAAAATTCATTATACAGTTTTGCGATCAATGTATTGCACCTTTGGGAAAATAATATGGTTTGATCTGCAGAAAAACAACCACTGATGCGGTCGGGAACCGAGAACTTAGAGAGAGTACAATTGTTTATTGCAAATATTTGTTTTAAATACACAATAACGAATAGGACAGTGGCCTCGCCTCTGCAGATTAACTAGCCAGAAGAACTAAAGAAGTGTATTTTTTTATAAAATGATTTGCATAGGTCTCACTGTATGTAGAGGAATATTAAATCCGAACAAAATATTTAAAAAAATCTTTTAATAGGCAAACAGGCAAGGTATTCAACGTTTATTCAACGGCTCATATTTTTTAATCTTAAATTCGTCTATATTAGTGGCGCACCGGGGGGGGGGGGGGGGGTCGGAGGGGGGGGGGGCTTGAGCCCCCCAAGAGGTTGTCGGTTTTTTTTTGGGGGGGGGGGAGTTAGTCCCGCGATGTTACCTTGGTGATATGTGTGTGGCCTATTTTCGAGTAGTATAATAGGGGTGTACTTAGTGGCGCCACCAACATCAAAATAGTCCGCCCCCGAAAAAAACCTCAATTTTTTTCTGCGGCCAAACATTTTGGGCAACATTTATTGAAAAAAAATTGAGCCCCCCCCTAAAAAAACCCACCAAATCCTGGGTGCGCCACTGGTCTATATGCCTGTTGTCCATGCAGTTCACGCTCATGGATAGTTTTGAGAACAAATGGTCATAAATTATTGTTTTCCAAGGAAATGAAATCTAAACTCTTCATACAGGGTGAGTAAAAAAAAAGCAGAATCCAAACTTCCAAAATTATATTTCATATTTAAAAATCATGTAGCACTAAACATAATAATGTCTGGAAAGTCAATTTCATAAGCTATTTTTAGATAGAAAGAATATCACCATTTAAACGCCATGACCCTAAAACCTGTTTTGTCCCCCCCCCCAAAAAAAAAGCAGTTTATTGTGTGTTCTGACTGGTTAGGCAAACGGTATGATTTATAAACCCACTTTTTTTTAAAGACGGGCCTTCAAAGGACTTTGTTGAATATTTTCAACTTTTAAAATGAGGTTTTATCGCTGGTGATGTTTGAAGACAATTATTGTGACAACGATTCTTGAAATCACATTTTTTGGACGAAAAAGGTTTTAGGGTCGTGTTTAAATGGTGATATTCTTTGAACGGATTGAGCAATTTCAGTATTTTTTTCCATCTAAAAGAAGCTTATGAAATTGGCTTTCTAGTCATTATTATGTTTGGTGCTACATATTTTTTTTTAAATATAAAATATAATTTTGGGGGTTTGGGTTCCGCTGTTTTGACTCATCCTGTAGAGGCTAAATGCATTTACTCTTAGTAGAGGGTCTTTGCACAAACCTACACACCTTGTATTGGTATGTGTATATATAGTTCCATAACGGAGGTATCAATTCGCTGTGTCAAATATTAAAAGCGGGTGAGAACAAGAAACAGATACCAAATGCGCTGTAAAAGACAACATCATGTCATGAATAAAAGAAAATGGTGACATTCCACTTTGAATTCCTAATAACGTCCAAACAATGCACGTCTCTAGGCAAAATGAAATCATAACAAGTTAGCCGTCAAAAGTGTATGGGTTGACCCTCGGAAGTGCCGGACGCCGTTGACATATCGACACATCACCCACGCTTCGAATCACACCTGACAGTATTGTTAGCCTTGCTTTCGCATGATGCCAATGCCCTGCCGGACGGAGGAGCGGCCCGTTCGCAAATGGGCGAAGTTCAATCGAATGCTTTTTCTGAAGCAGATGCCTGTGATTTTTTGCATGTTTCCCACATAAGCGCTTTCTGTTTTGTAGCCGGAAGATGCAGTCCGGTAATCTATGGAATGGCCACTTCCAAAGCAAGCGTCTATTATATGCGATTATGCGCGCAGATTCGGCGGTTAGCCTAATTATGCAAAACAAGACTGTGTCTTGACCTCGAGATTCGGACCATTCAGCTGGCGCCTTCTATGCGGTAACCCGTTGTTGTATTACAAAAACATGGCATCGAAATTGACCAATCAACAGCTTAGGCAGATTTTGTGCTAGAAACGACGTCACAATTTCTAGTGTCGACTCCGATTGGCTGGCGCGCGGGTTCGGATATAATTTGCAATGCTCACATATAATTATCATATCAGACGTTGAGGTGGAACTTGCGGGCTCCGTTGAACAACGAATGATGCTCAGACTAGGGGATGCACAACGAAATATCAAAATGTTGGGTTGATTAAGATTTTCAATCAGTAAACCTCGTTAATTAAGAATTACTACGTTCAATAAAGCATCAAGGATGTTTAATTAAGTGATTTTCTTTAATTATTTTTCTTTCATCACAAGTGTGCTTGAAAGGTAACGCATTAGAGGTGTCATATTGTTACTGAACGTAGTTGGTCGCATTAAAAACAATTTCTTATCAAACAAAGCTTGCTAAAAATGTGTTCATTCAATTAAAATGTGTTCTTTAAGTGAAGTGTTAAGACAAGAGTTGCCCGTTGCATGGCTATCAACCACGTTGTCCTAATTGCATAAGCTTAATTCGTCTTGAGCATCTTCGTGATTTTTCTGGTTCTGTTTAGATCCGTACGTGAAGGTATCGATGGTGAGCCAAGGCAAGCGGGTCAAAAAGAAGAAGACAACGGTTAAGAAGAACACCCTAAACCCCGTCTACAACGAGGCGATGGTATTCGACGTCATGCCGGAGAGCATGGACAGCATCCTGTTTGTCGTAGCCGTGGTTGATTATGACTGGTAGGTCAATCACATTATGGTAACTCCATTAATCAATTATCATAAACGTAGAAGTAAAGTATAAAGTAAAGTCTGTCACGAGCCAGTGTAGCCCATCAGGCCGGCGTTTATCTCCGGTTTCAGTAGCATGAAACGAATGAAAAATATTACTATTCTGATCATGAGTCACAAACCCTAATTACCACTGGGTCAAACATCAGAAGAAAAAGTCCAATTGGTAAAGGAAATAATTACCAATATCAAAAAGCAAGGGTTTCTTAAATTTGACACAGTAATTGTATACCAACCTTTTTTTGGAATACTTTTGGTCTTATATCTGATATGTTTTCTTTGGCTAACTCAGCGATGGTTGTTTGGATATTTCTGACCTAGAAAACATTCAAAGTAAATATTCAATTCATTCCAAGTAAACTTGCTGCTTTTTACGGTGAGGATCAAAATTACCGATAGACTCTCAAAAGTTCAAAATTCAGCTTCGTTGTAAACCTGAATAACACGAGTCGTCGGCCAAGGGGCAGATCTTGAGATCTCATGCTTACAGATGTATAATGCATGCTGATGCATAATATATATGTGCTCATCTCCCCAATTTTTAAGTTTAAATCAAAAGCTTTATGGATAAAGAGAACAAATAAAATATATAAAGAGAGCAATCAACAGTTTTTGGTGCAAGTGAAATTGAAATTTGAAAGCCCAAAGAAATTTATCATGGCAGTTTTCAAAAGGTCTTCTGCCTTTTTTGTTTTTTTTATTTGATGTCGCTTTTGTAAATTTCCACAAAACCAACCTGATCGAGGTCGAAACGATCTCCACCGGGACTATGGAATCATCTTTATTCGCAGCAATCGAAAGGACATCATTTCTGGCGCTAGTAATCTCTCGTTTATGTTCAGCCCCCAACAATCACATGTCCGTGAAGTGATTGGAAATGGTACTGGGAATTTCCCCCAGGCCCGTCCTCGACAAGTAGAGCGGAATTAAAATCTGTTTGGGACTGACCGGGCCGAGATAAAATGTCAGAAGAATTGAAGCAAACCCATTGGGATAAGATTTATAGGTTCAGGTTTAGGAGTTGTCAAAAAGCTGAGACCGATCTAGTCGAGTTCATTTGCAATGATCATTGTCTTCAAACGGCCATTTTTTTTTTACAGAGTTTCAATTTCCAAAGTGGCTGTCCAATACAAGATGGGAGTAGTTTTTTTTCCTGTCGCATGTTACAAACCTTTACTAACTCTTCTTATTTGTTCCTCTCCCCCCCCAAAAAAAAATTCAGGGTGGGTCACAGCGAGCTGATCGGCGTGTGTGAGGTCGGACCCAACTCATTCGGCCAGGGTAAAGAGCATTGGGAGGAGATGTTGGCATCGCCACGCAAGCAGATCGCTCACTGGTACCAGCTACAGGAGTCTTCGCCTTCCTTGAGCGCGGCGTCGGTGACTTCCTCCATGAAGGGATGCATGACACCACAGCAGTCCGTCGAGTGAAGGTACCCCGAGTCCTGCCCCGGGGAGGTCCTGTAACCCCCGGAATCATTATAGTTCCATCCATGTACAGCGGGTACCAGGTGATGAGGAACATCCATTTGGTACCTTGCTTTAGGTAGAGCTTCTCTCCAATGAGGTGACGTTGGTTCCGGTAATTGGAGAGGAACATGAGAGTCGTTTTGTGCTTCGTGATGATGGTTAGCCAATGGGAAAGCTCTTCCAAAAGTCCCAAAACGAGTCCAGGAGTGATTGGAATGTAGTAGTCCATCGCGACTTGAAGAATTTGCGAGTTTTGTACTCATTGCACACGTACTGCACCTTAACAGTGATTCTGCACGTAATTTGGTGTCTACTTTATCAACTCGATTGGTTCATTTCTTGCCTTTGAACGCACACATTGAGAAACTGTGCGAGCTTTATTTTAAAACAATACCGAATGCGTATAGGAATGTACATAACTTAAGCGCAGGGTTATAAACATGATTAATTTGTGTTACCAAAGTACAAATCACAAAGAACATAACCCGAGCTGTGTCTTTTAAATCCAGTTTTTGTCAGCAACGTTGCCTTTTGTCATTATGCGTAAAGAACATCTAACGTTCATGTAAAACAAATATTTTTTTTTGCAAAGGCTTTTAACAAGATTCTTTATGACTTAAAGAAACAAGTTATCTTTTGAAATTGTAGCTTAAAAAGGCTTCTCTTTGTCCCCAGTCAAATAACCAGTATTGACGCATATTGTGTATATAGGGACCTACTCCTACCCATATATCATGACTCAGTAACAGAAACGTTCTTAAATCAATGGAGGACAGCCGTGTATCTACCATCGACCAAATCTTAGCTTTTATTATATTAGTCGAAGGAATTTGTAAGATAGCCCATACGATTTAATATCCAAAAAGTTTAATTTGTACTACTTAGCGTATAAACTATAGTTTTTTCATAGAGTTGGGCACACAGCAAAATCATCTGGATGGAGTAAGCGTAATTTCTGCACAATGTACAGATAGTTATGTACGCGTGTGATGGTGCTACGTGATTTGTGAATAGTGATTACTTAATACTTTTTTTAATCAGGTCAAACTGGTACCATAAATGGAATGCCTTCTTTCATGTAAATAGGCTGGTTTTTCATGTTCATGATTTAAACAAACGCATGTTGTTATTCAGAACAAACATGGAGGAACACACTGCAGTTGCAAGGAAGCAATTAGATAGATGGGCCTGGTCAAACGAGACCTGCATGAAAGCCGAGAAGGGCCTCTGGCCTATAATCCACAATTTTTGATCTAAGAGACTCGATGCATAATTAATCGCATCCTCGGCGGAAAGGCATTAAATATGAATGGAAGGGATACGGTATGGAATCTAAGATGGACTTTAAGGTTATTATTGAGCTTATTCTCAGGAAATTATTAATATTTCCGGTTACGTCAAGGGTAATAATTGAATTCACATGATTACGGAAACTCGACACTAAGTAGGATGACAACTGCATCCAAAACCGTTATCAAAGACCCAAATGTTAAGTTAAAAAAAATAAACAAACAAACGAACATCAAAATACATTCCAGAATGAAAGAAAAGACAACAATAGAAGAAAAGACGTTCAACGACGTTTAGAGTACAAATATTAGAAGAGAGCTGGAATATTAACTCAGTGCAGGTTTGCCATTTTGGTCATTGCAACTAAAAGAAATGCACTAATTTCTTCTCACCAACTGTTCCAACCTATCTGTTCAGATGGATACCAGATCGTTATCGTAGTGGGTTTCTTAAAACAGGGTCACACTGTCTGACCTTTTTGATATCTTAAATCTTAACAGCTAACGACACTGGAGTTCAAGTAAACATAATCACAAGTCAAACGTTATCTTCAATTTACGCCAATGTCCACCGTGGAGTTACACGATTAGCATATTGGGTATAGGTTCGCAGATGTATTTGTAGTGTTACAAATGGCTTTCATTTCCCTAATGAAGTCCAGAATCCTCCGATACTCATCAGTTTATGAGGGCCGATGATGTTATCTTCTTGGCAGCTTCTTGTCTTCATAACAGTCTCCGTTGCAACAAGACCAAATCAAACCAGTTCAAATCGTTAAGAAGTCTTGCATCAGGTACATATTTAAAACAAAAATGAAATGTAAGTTCTCAGATTTGTTATCTGTTCATATGGATACCAGATCGTTATCGTAGTGGGTTTCTTAAAACGGGGTCACACTGTCTGACCTTTTTGATATCACAAGTCAAACGTTATCTTCAATTTACGCCAATGTCCACTGTGGACATTTCCCTAATGAAGTCCAGAATCCTCCGATACTCATCAGTTTATGAGGGCCGGTGATGTTATCTTCTTTTGGCAGCTTCTTGTCTTCATAACAGTCTTCGTTGCAACAAGACCAAATCAAACCAGTTCAAATCTTTAAGAAATCTTGCATCATGTACATATTTAAAACAAAAATGAAATGTAAGTTCTCAGATTTGTTTCTCAGAAAATAACCCACCTTGTAAGTGTACAAGTTTCCAGCAAGACCAAGTTGAATGTAAAAAGTCAAAAATCTAAAATATTATATTATATTGTAAATAACCAAAGTATTCTTTGTCGAAAGACAATGCACTGTATAAATTGTACAAGCTACTGCATCCGAGTACTCAGAATTTTTAAATACACCACGTAAGAGATGATATAATATGTAATTAATGTGTCTTTAATAATAGTTTATACCAATGTATTTGTACATCTATTATTTTAACAAATAATATAAATTGTTATCAAATGTGTATTGAAGAAACACAAATGTCATTATGCCTTTTGCTTTAAAAAGGGTAATAGTTGTAATTGGCCAATCAGCTGGAGTCTATGAAAAAGTTAAAGCCAGGCATTCGGTAATATCCACTAAAATAGAGGAAGGATATCAGTCTTTAAGACAGTATACACCATAGGCTATTGCAAATTGTGCACATAGGGGGTGCGGTCAGGGTCAATTATGAAAAATTCAAAATGGAAACAGCCAATTAAAAAGGGCTTTTAGTTCGTGCACCTTCTTCCATCTATGTTGACATTTTCAACACCGCTGTTGTACTTTCAAGTTCTTAATGACCACTTAGTATATGAAACAAATAAATCAGTCTTCATGCAGGACTGTGTTATTCACATGCATTTTTTTTTTTTTTAATCCATGAAAATTGTACATTAGAACTTTTATAGAGTGAACTCAGTATGAAATGGGAATATTCTCCTCATTTTTCCCTGTGTACTCCAAAAATCTCGTGGTGAAAAAGAACAAGAAAATGTATTTCATTTTGTTTTACAATAATGAGAGGCAAAATCTGAATTTAACACAAACACCAAAGATCATAAACACTTATTATTTACATATAAGATTTACAACAGAGTTTTGGAAAGGGGAAGTTGCATAGAGTTTAAAATGTATACTGGCTTACGGTATTAATATCAAAGAGGGTTTTTCGAATCTTCGGCTTCGTCTGCAGCTTCGCCTCCGGGAGATTTAAGGCCCCTGACTTTGAGGAATCAATTTGGGGTTTTTTGCTCCAGGATCATCAAATTCCATTATAAAGCCACGGTTTTCCGAGTTTCCAATGGGTTCACTTTGGCTTTCAAATTTAACATTTAATTCTGAAATAGTGAAAGCTCAATTTTAATAGAGATACCTCTATTTCCAGACGTGCCAAAGTTAACATTTTGTCCCAAAATATAGATATCTCCATTTCTAATCGAGATATCTCCATTTCTAATTGAGAGATCTATATTTTCGGGATTAAATAGTATTAACTTTGCTCGTCTGGAGATAGATATGTCTCTATTAAAACAGAGATGTTTCTATTTCAGGGTTAAATGTTAAATTTGCACGCCATAGTTCCGACAAGAAACCTTTATGTTTCTGACGAAGCGTGCACAGTATAGCTGAAGCCGGAGACAAGACAATTTTCGAAATACCCATCTTTTACAAAATGGAGAGGAAAAGAGTGAAGTACATGTATAAAGATTGAAGACTTCAACTGTTCTGACCTTCAGACGTGAGAAATAAGGGTCAAACATGAACAGTGTTGTGTGTAATTACTGAATTATATTAAACGATTATAAATATTAGAGTATAAGTTGAATATGACCACTGATGTAATATTTTCTATCAAAAAATACCACTGGATGTTGTAATAAGAATGCGAGAATAAATTGCTAATATAATGTACTTGTTGTTTCTGATGGACTGATGAAATGTACAAATGGGTGGGAAACGATTTTGTTCAAATACATGTATATACATAATAGGGTATAAAGTAAATAACAGCAAGAATCTAAAATTAAAATCACAAGTAATGGTACACATGAATTGTATTTCTGTGATAATATTGGACAGACATATTTATCTACAAAACTTCAAACTATTCGAGTTCAAAAAGTAAATTACGCTAGCAGAAAACTGGCTTTTATCATAATCAGCAATAACATTAAGATCACACTTTATAATTCGTTCAAGTAAACTCAATTCAGTCCCAAAATTAGACGGAAATTTATATACAAGTATTTCGAACAAAAAAAGGCACATTTGGGTCATTAGCAGACAGAAAAGGAGTGTTCCTTAAGATCAAACTTTATAATACATCAAAATGAGCTAAACTCAGTTGTAAAATCGGACGAAAATTTATTAAACAAACATTAAAAAAAACATTTGGACAAATACATGTAGCAAAAAAGGAGTGCCCTTTTAACCATCTGATTAAGATCACACTTTCAATTAAACTAAATTCAGTTGTAAAATGTAATGGAAATATATATGAAAAACATTTAAAAGCAAAACGGTATATGTACATTTGGATAATTGCGTTTATATGGCATAGTGGCTATGGCTCAGGCCTTGTGATTAGAGGGTCGGGGTTCCAATACAGCTGTTGGCCATAATCATGTCCTTGGGCAAGGCACTTTACCTCACTTTGCCTCTCTCCACCCAGGAGTATACATGGGTACCGCCATTAGTTGGCAATGGACTGGCATCCCATCTGGGAATAGAAATATTCTCAGTCGTTTCATGCCTAGGAAACTGGAGATACACACCAGCCTGATGGGCCACATCTGTCCTACTGACAGATAGCCTTCCTTTAATTTACATTGGGACGATCAGCAAACAGAAAAGTGAGTGTCCTTATAAGCTCACTTAAATAGGTCACAGATGTGCATCAATGGCCCATGTACTTTTGCATGGAATCCCTGACTGATGATCAAACGTACCATGGAGCTATAATGAAGTCTGCGCACAGGTACCCCCTCAACGGTACAAAAGGGAGAGTTGGGAGGACCACTGGGAGTGACATTAAAAAGCATTGCTAATGACGCATGATGATGACGCTGATGCTCATGCACAAAATTATGCTATGGCTTTGTGCACATTCCAAAAAAAGAGTTGTGCATACCTCACGCTTTCGAAGTGAGTCCGCGTATGCGGCATGTTCCATCCACAGGGCTCTTAAAAGTGGTAACAATAACTCTCATGGGTTCCTCTCTTGGGTTGGAGCCCAAGGGGGTGGTCATCTTAGTTGAAAAAAATGTCATCTACATGTAGTCCATTACAAGAGTATGTAAACGGTTGTCTGCGGTGACCAAATGAGGCCAGCTAGTGGAGCACCATGGATTTGTCAGGAGTGGGGTGGAAGGAGTGGGGGTGGAGGGGGTGGGGTGGGGGGGAGCTCACTTATATTTGTTTACCAGCCGTTGCAAGTTTGAAACAAAAATCAAATGGGATTGGGGTGGCGGCTTGATCTCTTATGCTAGGAGCACTGTTCATGATAATCTGTACTGTACTCCCTCCCACTTTGGTTGCACTGTTGGATGTGTGGGAGGTACCTACAGTAAAAAAATATATTTATTTTTAGCCTAAAGTAATCACTCTAATGGATTCAAAAGTACACCCCTTGTCTGAGTGCCACACTTGTAGACTGGGAGCTGCATAAGCTTTTCCCTAAATTGGAATTTCTGGGCACAGTACAGTGCTACATGTACTTGCAGTAACGCATGCAAGAAGCCTTATTTTCACTTTCATGCGTGCACCTTGCGAAAATTTACAATGCTCGACTACAACAGCAGCTTTTTAAGTTGCAATGAGATGATGATATTAATTTTAGACTTAGAAAAATAGAGTGGATATTTTTGTCCACTTGACTAATCTCTCCTGCTGTCTGGTGCATGCATGTGATGTACTTCACCGCAGTATGCACCCCACTCTACGAGGCTGGTCTGCACCCCTAAGTGTTAACACCACATTACTCAGACTTCAGGACATTCAAATCCAGTTCGCCAGTCACTTGGGAGAGTTGATCCGATTCAAAGGTGGCAACCAGCGTCCTTTCACCAGCTTTCCTAGGTTTGATGTTGACGGTTTGAGTGAGTGTTCCACCCGCCGCCATTTTACTGTTGTAAAAGAAAAAGATATTTAGGAAAGTTACCTCATATACCAACAAAAGAGGTGAGTCAACAGCCTGATTTGGAGGTGGGGCAATGAAGTAATTATGAGAATATAACAATTCTACATTTTCTCATTTGACGTGATTTCCTCTACAAATTTCCCTCAGAACTTTCACTGCGTATGTTGAAGACATGACCAGAACAGTCTACAGATTGTGCTATACTATGCTATGAATATATTCATGAACCCATTAGTTACCACGTGCTTATTGTAAGCACTGATTGAAATAAACCATTCCAATTCGGGCGATTCACAATGCAGTGCGCCACCAAGAGTTTGCCACAGAGAGTTCATTTTGCCCAGTGCACTGTAAGAGATATGTTCAACACAATCGCAACGCGGGACATTTGAAATTGTTAGTTTTTTTTCCGGTCAGTATAGGTTCGTGAGCGTATGATACGAGAATATGTTGCCCTTTTCTTTTCTTTTTATCAATGTGGTTTTTTTAAGGCGGGGGAACGCTATGCCCCAATCTATAACAAATTAGCTCAAGTTGTCTACTGACACTCGTTCAAATGGGCCATGTTTTGTCAACCGTAAACTTGAAAAATGAACTCTCCATGACAAACTCTTGGTGGCGCACTGCATTCAATCAGTGCAGGAACAAAAGAATGCACCTTTTGACTTCTCATGAAACTCCATGCATGGTAGATTCTGCATGTGCGTTTCCAGCACGTATAATGCAGAGTAAACTGAAAGCATACCGCATCAAAGCGGATGTTCCAATGAAAATAGCAGCCTAATGGTGCTACATTGTAAATGAACTTTATAAGAACCGCATATTATTATTACATTCAGAAGTCCATTGGGGGTGGGATATATGTGTGGGCAGTCCATTGTACGGCTAATCAGCAGAAGAAAGATACACAGCTTTAACTGTTTTCGTATCTGAGTAAAAGATTAAGTGTCTGGTTTTTACACTGATATGCATGTAATTGTTGCAGGCATGTATACAATAGATACAAACTTGGCACTTCAATTGACAATGCCTTCTTATTATGTACTCCGTGCTCAATGGTGATAATGGAGATAATGGAAACTTTAGCACCACAAGGCTAACAAAAATATTGTGTGTCTACTGTAACGCCCTCAAAGTTATCCGGGTAGGTAGGTGGGAAAATAAGTGTATTTTGTAACTTTTTTAATGTTTGTCCGTTGGTCTTTTATACTTAATTTGTTTACTTTAGGTGGCATTGTTTAATTGACCTGTTTTATAGTTTAACCTATAAGTCGCCCCAGTGCCCGAAACCGCCCTGCCTATTACTGCCTGAGCAATCTATAAGCCTTGTCACACTAGGAACATCTCGGGGTTGACGCAGGTTGACGTAGGGTTAATAACATGCAGCGTTTCACACTAGAAAATGTTCAACCCTGCGCCAACTCTGCGTCAACCCTGAAATTGATTTGGCCCCGGGTCGAACTCAACCCTGTTCCAGACCAGGGTTGGGACTCTTGCCAGGGTTCCAAACAGCAGTAATCGAGCGAAATAAGCTCGGTTTGCAGGAAACAAGTGTGAAACGACGCAGGATGACAAATCCAAATCTCGACCCTGGGCGGCAATGGGTTCGGCCAGGGTTGAGTTCAACCACGGTTGAGAGGCTGCAGTGTGAAAAGGCCTTATGGTTTTATTGATTTTTCAGTGAATAAACACAATGTAATACAATGTAGTACAAAAGCTAATGGGTTAATTAACCAATAAAAATGCTCACTATGTTTTATTAAAATTGAAAAGCTACTTTTAATTTTTTTTCTCTTTTAACCTTCTGCAAGTACGCTTTCACTTTAGGTTGCTTTTGCTAGCATACGCATGAAAGATACACCTGAATTATTGTTGGACGACAAATAATTCAACATGTGCAGAGTAAATATTCCATAACTAAGCGTGGGCAGATTTTTGGTTTTTTGATATGCATTCAAAAGTGAATTATATTTGTACTGCTAGAAAAATAGAAATTTAAAAGCAACATCTATTTTTCGGAGTGAAAATCAAATATAGCATGGGAAGAGAAAATTTAGACTGCAAGCACTGACCTGAGTTTGATGACACGAGGAGCCAACAGTCCTGAACCGTCGACGCTTATCTCACAGTTTGTGAGCGTCTTTTTCAGAGGGTTCTGCAGACTGAGCTCCACTTCAACCTCCTGTCCCACCTTCACCTCACTGGCTGCGGGCCGTAGCAGCTTGACGTCAAGGTCCGGGGTGCGCAGACGGAAATCCTCCTCCTCTGCAAATGCCTGGCCTGTCTCCTAGGGAGGGAAGAACGTGTACATGATCATCACTTGTGATCAAACGCCTTAATGAATGAACTAAGATTTGCAATAGTGTATTGCATCATTTCTTGAAAGACCTTTGGAGATTATGTTTCCATCATTTCATAAATGTTTAACAATGTCAAGACAGAAGACATGGGTGGATGACCACTTTCCCTAAATCTACCTTTTAACAATTCCCCTTTCTCCCCACTACCCCTCCCTTACTGACAAGCAGAGATGGATTGACGTCGTGGTTTCAGTCAGAAAATCATTCAAAGAAAGACACTCCAGAATTAAGAAAGATTTGTTAGGTACTAGAAAGAAGAAAATGGCAATAAGTTTATACTTACATCAACGTGGCCGAGAAGAAGCACTTTGAATGCCGACTGGTCCACCATCTTGTTAAGGTACTCGTCAGCATCAATTTTAAAGTTCAACTGATGATTGAGGCCTGGTCCAAGCCGTATTGTGTCATCATTTCTTTTAATTTTGCCAGCGAGAACACCTTAACAAAACCACCCAAAAAAAGGAAGATTGTTAATTGGGAAGTACATACATGTACAAGGGCAGAATGTAACATTTTGTTAAACCACACAAAAAGATTTATAACTGGTAAAAAGGTTCCATTTGTTCCAAAATAGGAAAAAAAGTTACAAACTTTTACAGTAGAGTATGATCATTTGCAGCTATCCAAAAATTAACTGACATAATTATTGTTGAAGAGCGGGATGGCAATAAAGCCCCTGCGAAATTATTCTTTCTGGTATGCTGTCATTTTGAAGAAAACAATAAAAGAAGACCATTTGCAAACATGCATTTTTTGGTAATTTCCGTTAGTAAGTTGGTTTGTAATTCAGCAAATCTGTGTATGGGTGCGCGCAGGCGTTTACGCGGCACACACAGGTGTGGTTACTATAATTCGTCGGTTCAGTGCATGACATCGCGTAGCTGCAATTGAAATCAAGGACCTAGAATATTGTTTTCTCGGAATAAACAGCATTCACAGAGCTAACACTTCAGCAGGTTAGTTGCTTAGCACCATTAGATTTTGAGCACTTGTGTTGCTTCAAACAGAAAAAAATGCACAAATGTAAAATGATCTACCCTACCTTTAATTATCCACGTCACCAATTTAGTATTGTATCACTTAATGTTCAGAACCCCCTCTTGTGCCGGTAAAAAAATAACTTGCAATGGCACGGTTTGGAAAAAAATACAATTGAAAGCTTAATGCATAATTCCTGACCATTTGACAAGTCAGCTAGTTAAAAGTGGCTGACTAATTTACAAAAGTTTGCCTTATTGAATTACATATTTGAGCCCCACTTTACATTACAACAACCAAGGTAGTGTTTTCATTGGTTACATACATACGAACAGTTTACATTTTGACGTACCAGTATAGTAAACCACCTGCACAATGACCGTGATTGAAACTGTTCGCTCTTCTTCACTCTTATTGGTCAATGGCACCTTGATGTCAAAGTCTGCTCCAACGAAGAGGTCTTGGAAGTCAAGCTGGACGTCTACATCCTCTGGGTTTTCAGGTGAGTCATAAATCCCAGGTTTGCTTCCGTAAGAAGTTGCGGTTTTGACAGCAGCTCTTTCAGCTGCAGAACCTGAGGAGTAGATCGGCAAACGGTCAATGTAAGGTTCAGCATTTTCCTTACCGGGGACGAGTTCCGGACAAGTTCCAGACACTGTATCGAGTTAAGTTGCAGGATTCTGCACAACTTCCCCGGAATCTTCCCACAATTGAAGTAATCAGTATTGGTGAGTCAAGCAGTTGCTGATGAAAATATCCCCGGAACATGTCTGGGACAAATGCAGAGCTTCTTCTGGCCAAAGTGAATGATTCTCCCTGCAACTTGTCTGGAACTCGTCCCGGATATGAATTGAGACGGGCCCTCACACAAGCAAGAAATACTCAAGAGTGCTTTTAATGTGACCTGATCTCACAGGTGGGAAAGTAAGGAACTAAACGTTTCTTATTCATCACATCCCCTGGGGATGATACAGAAATTAGACAGGAGGCCAACAAATCTTGCAGACTTGGGGGATGGGGTGCTAGGAGGGGCCAAAATATTAAAGCTGGAAAAATCAGCAACAAGGAGAGTGGGGGTGTTCAATGTATCTGCCCCCTCATCACCCCCATTCCATTCTTACTCTGCCATTGATGGTTTACATACCTTCTTCATGTTTGTACTCCATAGTCAAATCCTGCCTGTCACTTGATCCTACTGCCTTTGTACTTATGTTCTTTCCCACTTCGCTGCTGTTGACCTTTATCACTTTAGTAGTTCTGTCTCTTTTCACCTGGAAAGGGAGATGTTAAACCACAATCTGTGAAAGGTGTTTTTACTTCTTTGAAGATGGACCATAGGTCATGTCCTCACAAAATAATAGCACACAGCACAAAATCAAATCTGAAATATTCAATTATTCATGCTATCAAAAAAGATGTATCACTGCATTTCATACTTAGCACTCAAAACACTGTAAAACAGGGTGAACAGGGGGAAAAAGTGCTGTTACCTTTTTTCTTCAATTATTTGTCCTGAATTGTCAGGACATTTCATTGCTTTCAAAACGCAAACTGAAAGAGGGACTTGGCTGAGTGTAGGTTTGTTATTTAGAGCCCCCCCCCATAAGTTCAAGGCCAGAGCTGCTCCAGATAATGCACATGGATAAAATAATTTTACAGGGTGTACACTCACCCGCCAGTTAACAATGTCACCGTTCACTTCAGCAAAGACAAATCTTGCGTCATACGGATAGTAGACGTGGCCTTGCTTGATGGCATTAACAGAGCACGGTCCGGCGCAGTAGATACCTGAGGGTGGACAAATGATACCAAATGGTTTACTGAGTGGGTTCTTACCCCTCCGAGGTTATGGGCCCACTCAGCCTATTATCCACGGCTACAGCCTTTATAGCGGGTCATGTTGTTTGGTGTCTAGCAGATGGTTTTGGTACACAACCTAAAGGGACCCATTGACCCCAACAGAACTCAACCCATCAAACCCCAACGGCATGTTTCGTTGGAATCTGTCACGATGGGTACAGTACCCCTAAGGGACCATGACCATTCAGCCCTGGTATGACAAGGGCCGTCGGTACCTCGTCCGGTCCAGAGCCAGTCCGGTCTTCAGCCCAGTCTCGTCCGGTACATGGTCCTTTCTGACCAGAAGTTTTGAAGTCAGTCAGGCGCATCAATTTATTGCCCTTCAGAGAACGTTCTGAGCAGAACAATAGCAGACTTATCGGATTAAAGATAAAGTCCTTCCAAACTCTTTGGTAATTTACGGTCCCATTCTGCGCGAAACCACATGGCAGGGGTTTTGATCTGCGCCGACAAAAGTGTTCTATTGTTTCGCGCTGAGAGATGAAAACCACAAGCAGGTTTCTTCTGAGATATATTACATGTGTCAATACTTGCAAACCATAGACCCCAGGATAGAGGAGTTCCTGATTAGCAACCGGACCAGCTCCTGGGCTGGTAGCTTGGACGGTACGAAAGGACTTCTTGGTAGGGGACAAGCTTAACGGGGGCCCTTTTCATACCGGGGCTGAATGGTCACGGGCCCTAAGCTGACAGTCTTTAACATTGGGTTGGCACACCTCCAGAATCAAAGTAAGAAATACGTTTGTATAGTATCCCATATGGTGTTGGAATTTGCCAGGATGGGCATGGTTTTTAGTAAATCTTGGTAAGGAGTTAGGGTTTTAATGAGTTCATGAATTCTATGGGCAATTAAAGGGATTCCCTTAAATGTAAAATGTTGTTATAATACACCAGACAGTTTCAATTTGCCTACATTATCAGATCTCCTGGTATTTTGTTTCAGCCAACCAGAGATGCCAGACATGGCTCCCCTATTTAGGCCATCCCTTTTTTATTCTTTGGTTCTCATTTCCGGCTCCCGACTAAAAACAAACACTTTTTTTTCATTATTGCCGACCTTGTCTGGATCCCCCACTTACACTTACGAACTAGGAATCATTAAATTTAGCCATCTATTCTGGTGCAACTGCAAGTTTCTTTAGATTTTTACTTAGTTTGCCAACTGACCAATCGTAGAAATACGAAGGGATGCCCTTAAAGGGAAAAAAATTATCAATGCAAATACCATCACTGGTTTCTTGAGGTGTGGCATCAACAGCCTGCCAGCCTCCATAGCCTGCTGGGAGTTCAGGACGACTCATCCAAGCTTCGTTCCAGACATGGAAGTTCCAGATGGAGTCACTTTCATACCTTTCCAACCTCTTGTTGTTCTCGTTGTAAAACCTGTCCTGTATTTGCAGATATCAGGAGAAATAGATGGTGGAATATGGATTATCTGCTGGCAGTAGTGTAAGTTGCAGTATCAAGGCATGTGACTCACTCTTTAATATTAACTCTTTGAAAACAGAATTAACTGAATTGAAACATTGCACAGTGAGGTGATATATGGCTGATTTAATGATACTCATGATCATCAGTGTTGTAGTCGAGGCCACAACCTCCGAGGCCACAACCTCCGAGGCCGAGGCCAAGGCCGAGGCCACAACCGCGAGGCCGAGGCCAAGGCCGAGGCCACCATCTCCGAGGCCAAGGCCAAGGCCGAGGCCAGCTATCAAAACACGTAATAAAATATAAATCACTAAAACAAGGATAAGATTATGTTGGAGTTTTAACATCTTTTTAGTTGAATTCACTGAGTTTTGGAGTGCCTGCCTTACAAATTTACAGCTTGCAATGTGTTTCCTCTTGGAGGGAGCCCGGCAAATTTTATTTTTTTGAGAAAGAAATCTCAACTTTTGTATTACTGAAAAGCGAATTACACGACAAAATCAATGGCGTTTGAATCAGCCTCATAGATGTTTGCACTTTGGAGATACAACAATTTAAAACACATCAAACACATCAAAATGGGCGGCCTCGAGCCGGCCTCGACCGATTCGCCGAGGCCGGAAGGCTCCGAGGCCGAGGCCAAGGCTGAGGCCTTGCACTCCGTGGCCAAGGCCGAGGCCGAGGCCATGAATATCGGCCTCGAGGCCGAGGCCGGCCTCGAGACCTCCAACACTGATGATCATCATATCTAAACTGATGCTTTGAGCATGACATAAAAGACAACAAACAGTTATTATTAAGCTTCAGCCCTTTACAACAAATCATTGGTTAATGTTTTCCTTTTTTTGTAGTATGAAATCTATTTGAAAAAGGTCTTTCTACTAAACCATGAAAGGTGAATTCAAGTTCGGTTCAGACAGTAGGTCTTTCCCTCAACTGGAATTCAAATTCCATCAAATTTTTGGTGTTCCGCTTCACCTATATAACAGATATCTGCTAAACATCTCCTCATCAAAGATTCAAAAGGTACATGTATGTTACAATACGGATGCCATTTTCAGGAGACCCTTTTAACCAGTTCACGCCGGCATTATTTTGACAAGAACGGAACGAGGTTGGGGATTTATTTTCACTCCACCTTAAGCCAGGCGCGGTGAAGCCATCACCCTTGGGCAGCACACTCATATTTCCGGCCTCGCTCGCCCACAGATATTTCCGGCCTCGCTCCCTGCGAGTTTATCTGTCATCCATTCCGAATGCCGCAAAACTTTCGTGCGTATACACGGCCTTCGGCGCAGAACTGGTTACCTTCAAAAGCCTACTTACAATAGACAGACTGTTGTCAGTGTCATGGGCAGATCTGAAGTTGGTCACACTCCTTGCCGGTATGCCAAGACATCGAAGAACAGTAGTAAAGACGCCTGAGAACACCCAGCATTGGCCGTAACGAACCGGAGCTTTAGTCTTGAAATGCTTCTGTGTAAATTCAAGACACAGACATAGGCATACAGTTGCAAATACTCTTAGAAATACACGTAATGCATACATTTAAAATTTCTTTGCTGAGTTTGAGCAAGTTATGGATTTTTTTTTTCAAATTCTTTGTTTCCTGCTACATCTGAGGCCCTGGAACCTGACATGGTCTTTTATTGTATGCAATGATTAACAAGATTATTGTTTCTACAAACATATGATGGATTCTTATTAGAAGCCTCACTATTTTGATTTATATTTTCATTCATGAAGGATAAGCTGTAACCAAGTCAAAAAATCAGTAACTCAAATTACACGTCAGGTCAAAGTTAAAGGTATAGTCCATCATTTGTAATTTGTGCATTTTGTTTGTTTGAAGCAACAAAAATGATTAAAATCTAAAGAAGGGTGCTGAACAACTAACCTAATGAGGTTTCAGCTCAGTTTCAGCTGTATATTTTGAGAATACAAAATACTATGATCTCGATTTCAAATCAAAAGTTGTTGAATCATGTTTTGAATTGGGCCTGAATTCAGCGTCCGAGACACGTTCTCACTGAGCCGATTGCAGCTTAGCGATGTCGTGCACTGATCTGACGAATTATAGCAACCGCGTGCGCGTGTGTGTCGTGTCAACCCTTGCGCGCACTTCGCCGAATAAAAAACGAACTACTTACGGAAATTTCTTACGGTGTGTCTTAAGACCCACCGTTGGAAAGACCTATTTCCGTTGATTTCTTCCAAATGACAGCTTGCCAGAAAGAAGAATTTCACCCTTACTATCTTTCACCCAAGTATGTTTTTCAACAATAATTATGCCAGTTACTATTTGGATAGCTGCAAATGATGGACTCTGGCTTTAAGTACACCTGTAATAGGATGAACAATGGCAAACGTGTACTTCATTACAGTTCATGAGTGACTTGTTATTGGTTTTTTATCCTCTTCGCAAAAGGACTACAAATTTACAAACCTTTTTACTCAGGTGCAAAGAAAAAAATTCTTACAAAAGTCAGCAAGTGATCCGAATAGATCAATTTTTAATGTTGTCAAATTGTACTCACCTCCAGAATGTGTTGGCTGCCTGTCCATGACGTAGGACGAGCATGTGGGCGATAATCGCCGTCCCAGCGACCAGTCAAGACTCCACTATCATCTTGAGCGTTAATAGCTGCTGACATGACACGGCTGACACTGACAGAACTTCCACGTTCATAATCCTCCACCTAGAAAACAGTTTATGAAAACATCGATTTTATGAAAAATAACCACAATATAACAGCCTATTTAAAAAAAAAAACGACATTTGTCAATGATGCAGTACTTTATATAATGTCATAAAAATTGTCAGTTACCCCCCCCCCCCCCCCCCCGAAAGAAAAAATAAACGACTGAGTTGAATTCAAACATGCATGCCCCCTACTATTTGTTAAAATTGATGTACTCTTTTCTGTACAATATGTTAGTTTTAGCCATCAGACATTTTAAGATTTTTTTACTGGAGTGAAGAATTAAGTCGAAATAAACAAGAACAGATTTCAACTTAAAATATGCTAGTATTTACTCTTGTAGGTCCTGCAAAAAGGTTTGAAGGCATGGTTTGTATCTGGCATTATTCAAATGCACAGGACTTTAAGGCAAAGAAAATTAAAATTATTTTGGGACATTCCAACCAACACACACAATCCAACCTATGGAAGAAGTTGCATTCTTAACCCCTCCCCTCAAAAAACCCCAAAACAACCTGAAGTTCACTGTACCAGGGTTCCCAACCCTCCCAATCAAAGCTTTTGTATACAATACCTACATGTTTTTCCAGCAGGTACATAACAGCCTCAAAGACAGTCTTCTCAAATTGGTTGAAACCCCAGGGCCTCCTGCCCAGCTGTCTCCAGTTGCCGTACCAGATGAAACCCTTCTCGTTCAGCACATACTCCTTCCGTTCATCCTCCTCCTCCAGGTAGACCTGATCAGTCTCGCACCAGGCGTTGAAGAGCAGGAAGACCGGCAGGGGCTCCTTGAACATGTATCTTTTGGGTTTGGCAGAGCCACCTTTTTTAGTAGGCAATGGACATGGAGAAGAAAATGTGACAGAATGCCGCTGCTTGTTGCAGGTTCGATCCACACGATCAGATCACATAACTTTCATCCTCTACTAATTTACTTCATATAAACTGGTTACCCGTTAAGTACAGCATGAGGTTCAAAACCATCACTGGTCCCAGAACTTGGGAAAATGAAATGTGGCTTATAAATATGTCACCGTACCATTATAAACACACACATTATATGGCGACAGCTGACTCACTATGGCAAGCCTTTGTGGTCGGCTGGCTGCGGCAAGCGAAAGACTGGCACCCCTACGAACAATGACTCCCTGAAAGCCAACATGAAAGCACTGCCCATGTTAGACAGCATGATTGGAAAGTGGAGTGCATGAGACAGTTTGCGAGGCACTTACAAGATGCATAGTGATCCAGACGCTACACTGGTTTGCCACAACAGTGGTTGGATCTGTGAAGCATGGAGTGCTTGGCTGACAAACTGGAAACTTCATGAGAAGTGGTAGTGGTCGAGGGGTCCTCCTGAAATTTTGGGATTGATTGGCAGGCAACGTCTAACTTCACATTTCAAAGAAGTATATGACAAATGATGCCTTACCAGACCGAACTGTAGTACGTACTTGAAGGGAGTACTTTCCAACCAAGGCATCATGTGAAGCAACGATAGACACAGTGAGTGTGTTCTTCTCCTTTGCCTCAATTTCTGCCATCCATCCTGCAGCTAATGATGGGCGGGGCTCATCAAGTGACTCAAGCAGCAGTATTGTTTTCTTTAAATTCTGGCTTTTTCCTGTCAATATTAGGAGAAAAACATCTGACACATCTGACAAGTGGAACTGTGGTAGAAATTTGTTTGTGTTCATTGGATTCAACATGCCAACACTGAGCTTTTACATGTACATTTGTGATCATAAATGATGTAAATTCTGCATCCATGAAAGTAAAATGAATATTCTTCAACATATAACTGGATTTGTTTCTTTTTTCAGCTGAAAATGCAAAAGTGTAATTTTCTTATTATGTGGCACTTGTTCTGGAAAAGTATTTTTCACATAAAAGCTTGTGAGACAAAAGTAACGCATTGTCTAGTAGTACTAATAGACATTGATCCTAAGCCACAGAAGTCTAAAATATTGTGATTGTCTCTGCATACCTGTTTGAAAGTCAAAAGCGATATCATCGGTGCTTGAATCGTAAGGGCGATTCAGTGTCAGTTGCACCTTGAATGCTTGGCCACGTCTCACCACCAAGCCATCCACCTCATCAATATCAGATGTGTGGTGCAGATCCTTGTTACATGTGCTCCTCTCCATCAAGTTTACACTCAGAACCTTCAATTCAATTCAATTCAAGAAATATTTATTGCACTACAATGCATGCAATGTATGGTCAGTGAAATCAAAAGGTCAAATTAAACGGAGACCAAATAAAAAATATAACAATAACAAAACCTGCTAAGTTTGAAAGGATTTGAATTTTTTTTTTAAAGTAAACGATTGTATATTTCCTAAATTCTCAACCACAAAAAGTAAACAACAAATATTTATCAATCAGAGATATCAATGGGGACTGATTGAGGCCATCATTAAGCAACAAATACATGTAAACAGTAGTGGTAAATGTATCATCAAGTGGACATCCAAGGACAAAAATCAGAGAAAGACATGCCAACAATTGACCATGACACATTAAAAGTGGATGGACAAGGTGTATGGTTCAGTGTATTTATGTTGAGCCCGATCGGTTGATCTACGTGATCGGTCAATCACGCTGCGCAATCAATCGACTGTGCCGCCATTGGTCAATTTCACTGCCATCAGTCGATCACTTTTTCTTTCTAATTCACGGCTCTGGAGGATTGTTTTGAAAAGGGATTTAAAGTCTAAGATTTTCTAGGATCGACTGACCATGCAATTAGTGCATTTCTTCGTGATCAAATGATAGTGCAGATCCACCGAACGTGCTCAACATTTGCATCGGTCATGGAAATATGAAACAAATACTTAGCAACATATTTGTAGATAAGGAACTGTTTCAAGGAACCTTCAATTGGGTGTTGGTTTTGGGCAGGAGTACGGGTTTTAGTCTCAGTCTCTCCTTAGCAGCTCGGGTGGTGCAGACACGCCGACGGCCGCCATCCTTACCAAAGGTATAGCTATACTGTCTAGTGCTTGCTGAGGTTTCCATTTCTTAACATACATAAACAAATTTAAGAACATTAATTTTACAAAAACAGTCTCGAGTTTCACCATGTAAATTTGAAATATGGGCATATAGATAAGTTTCAAATTAGCAATGAAATATGGACCTCAGTCTTGTGTGCAGAGGATTACAAAAGGAATTCCCCAGTGTCATGCAACAGTGCCTCCTTGTTAATCTCCCTGGTGGAGAATTCACGAGGAATTTCAACCAAGTACCAAGTAACAGTATTACAGTGTAAAATCTAGTGTTTCAGAATTGGCTGCTTGTAAAAAATGCATACATTAGAATTCAGAAAGATACACGTACTGTAGTTTGATGTTTATCATTCATACTGAGCTGAAATGTAATTGTATCAGGATTGTGGAGATAACAAGAGCCATATACCATACAGTACATCATAACCCTTTTCTCTGCACTCAGCTGGAATGATTGTAAACAATGGCAGAAACAAAAATCACAAGTCTTCATCATGTGGAGCTTATGTTGTATTTTTTTATCAACTTGTCACAATTAATTCACACGCCAAAAATATGTTTTGCAAAGGGTACAAATTTAATAAAACTTACCTCTGCAGTGGAAATCGAAGTTAATGCTCGGAGCAAAACAGGATCAGGGTTTTACAGGGTCTTTTGGCAAAAATATCTCATGCCTCTCTCTGCCAAATGCCAATATTCAAAGGTTACTTTCAACAAAACGCTTCCATTACTAGCACAACTGAATAGCATTGACTACCGGTAGTAACCATTCAAAGCCACAGTGCACTTTATTGCTAGGTGACCTTTCATTGGTCTGCCGACTTTAAACTCTGAATAATAGGCACACTTACATGAATGATGGAGTTAGCATGACCGAGTTAGCATTGAGTTTGGCTTCGGGTTGTCTTGACAACGGCTATATACAGTGTGTAAACTCAAGCAATTTCAAAGGATTTTGGAAGTACGACTGATATTTGCGGATTTAGATCATGCGGACACAGTAAATACAGTCAAAATTAAAAATTGGAAACCTATCACAATAACAAAAATTCTGTCATCAAATCATTATATACCGTAACTTTTATCTAAGCTTATTTCGATTCAGGTTATAGATTTATGTGACCAGTTAATCACATTATGTAGAACTTTGCAGCTTACAGAATTCACATGTATCAAACTGCCGTAGTGCTTAGCACTGGAATACATTGTACAACACTTAAGATCAACTCGCTTCCAAAGAATACATTATGGTCTAATAATAATACTACTAATTAACGTTTATATAGCGCCCGAAAATCCATAATATGCTCTTAGGTGCTGTTCACATTAAAAAAAGATAAAGTAATTAAAAAATGAATATTAAACTAGAGTTTGAGGACAAACACACGATGTTGGGCTAGACGTTTGGCCTTTTCGCATTGTTAATTATTGGTGTTGATTGTTGATGTTGGTTGTTGATGTTGATGTTGATTGTTGATGTTGATTGTTGATTATAGTTGATGGTAGTTGTTCATGTTGATGTCGATTGTAGATTGTTGATAATTGATTGTTGATATTGATTAACAATTATTGATGTAGATTGTTGATGTTGATTGTTGATGTTGATGTTTTTTTGTAAATGATTGTTGATGTTAATTGTGATCATTGTTGATGTTGATTACTAGTGTTGGTTATTGATGTTGAATGTCAGATTGTTGATGTTGATTGTTGATGTTGATTGTTGATTGTTGATGTTGGTGTTAATGTTGATTGTTGATGTTGATTGTTGATGTAGATGTTGCTGTTGATGTTGATTGTTGATGTTGATTGTTGATTTTTGATGTTGATTGTTGATGTTAAAGTTGATTGTTGATGTTGATTGTTGGTGTTAATGTTGATTGTTGATGTTTATTGTTGATGTTGCTGTTGATTGTTGATGTTGATTGTTGATGTTGATTGTTGATGTTGATGTTAAGGGTTAAGGGTTGAAAAATAGCGCGTGGAGTAATTATACAAAGGATGGTTAAAAAGAGTCAGGTGAGGATCTGCACGGGCTATGCTGCTGTACTGTAAACTTATCTAGTACAATTGTTACAAAAACCCATTAAATAACTCATACACTGTATCTCTAAAAGTAAAGGTCGCACACCATTGGCGCAATACAATATATTGCTCGCCATACCTTCTGTACCCCAATGCGCATGTTTTTAGAAAAAAGCGCCCAATTTAAAAAAGCGCCCAGTTGGGTGTTTTTGCCAGCCCAATTTTTGAGCATCATATGACGGGAAGTTCCCTTTTACGCAATCGCAGCGCACTGTTTTTTCGGGGTTTTCCCTTTGTATGCAATTATCCCCATTTGCTGTACACACAATGTACGTGGCATTAAATGAGCGTTTCAATGCGTAGGCGTGTTCAACTTCAAACTTCAAGGGGGCTGCAGGGCATCTTCTAGTAAATTTATTGTAACGAAACCATAGGAAGTTTTAGACCTATTATTGAAGTGCCATTTAAAGCACAAAACTGGATTATATCTCTGACGGTTGATTTTTTTTAGCAATTTTCAAAGGAAAAGAGGTCCTTAATTTCATTGTAACTTCCGGTCTGATGACGTAATCATTTTTTTTTTCGCCCACAGGTCTTGTCTGCATTAAGATCATTATGCATATTAATTTTGAAGCGATTACCGCAAATTTCACCACAGACATCAACTGAAAATGCGTTTTGGACATTTTTTTAACCTGCCACTAGAGGGCGCTCGAACACTTGATGGCGTCACCGATCATTTTGTTCGGAAAGATCAACCCACCCACAGGCTAACATCGTTGAAAGCAAATTCATATCTTTTTCCATTTTTGAATTATTAGGCAATTCCGGTTTCGACCGGAAGGAAGGGTCATGTGATTTTACGCACACACAATAAATTGAAGAGCATGTATTATCATGTCGATTCCCGCAAAATTCAAGTTTCGGTCTCTCACGGTTGATTTTATATTGAATTTCAAAGATTAAATTTATTATTTTTTGAAGTGACGTCACGTGACCCATGATGACGTCATGATAACGTAATTGCAAAAAAGCACACCCTCAGTGGGTTGTGCATTCATGTATTGACAATTGAAGTTCATATATGTTTTTTCATTTTGACAGACAGCTCTGGAGAAGAATATGCTGAGGAGAACATTAATAACTAGAGGTTGTAGGAACAACCACACGGTGTTCGGCCATGGGTTACCGCAAGTTTTGCCACACACATCAACTCAAAATGCATGTTTAAATCCATGTTTGACTTTTCAACATGCCGCCAGAGGGCGCTCTAACATTTGATGGCGTCGCCTGTAAAATTTGTGTACAGTACTGCCTAGGCAGACACTCACATCGATGAAAGCAAGTTTGCATCTTCTGCCAATTTCAAATAAAAAGGCACTTCCTATTTCGACCGGAAGGGTCACGTGATTTTGCACTAAATACCGAAAATGAAGACCCTGCAATCTTGTATCGATTGCCACAAAAAAAACAAAATTAAATCTGTAGCAGTTGATTTTTTATTGATTTTCAAAGATTCAATCTAGAAATCTTTGATTACTTGTAATATGATACTTGATGACGTCGTTGTGACGTTATTACCAAAAAGTTTAAGATCTATGTTAACTGTGCTATATATAGCCAGATTTTGATTGATTCTATCTATCACTGTTGATATTTTAGCAATTTTTAAAGGTTTACAGGTCTTTGTATTATAACTTCCGGTCTGATGACGTAATCAAATATTTTTGCGCACAGGTGTTGTCTGCAGTAAGGTCATCATGCATACTAATTTTGAAGCGATTACCGCAAATTTCGCTACAGACATCAAGTGAAAATGCGGTTTTGACGTTTTTTAACCTGCCGCTAGAGGGCGCTCTAACATTTTCTGACGTCACCGATCATTTTTTTGAAACGGTCAGCCCACCCACGGACTAAAATCGTTGACAGCAAGTTCGTATGTTTTTCCACTTTTAAATTATTAGGCACTTCCGGTTTCAACAGGAAGGAAGGGTCACATGATTTTATGCGCACAAGATAAAATGAAGAGCATGTATTATCATGTCGATTCCCGTAAAATTCAAGTTCCGGTCTGTCACGGTTGATTTTATATGGAATTTCAAAGATTAAATTTATTTAACTTTCAAGTGAGGTCATGTGACCCGTTAAGACGTCATAATGACGTAATTACAAAAAAGCACATCTTCAGTGGATTGTGCATTCATGTATTGACAATTGAAGTTCATATATATTTTCATTTTGAAAAACAGTTCCGGAAACGAATTTGCTGAGGAGAACTAAAAAAAAAAAAATAGTAAATTCTTACAATAACAATAAGTTTTGGGCTCAAGGCCCAACACCTTACTAGAGGTCGTAGGAACAACCACACGGTGTTGGGCCATGGATTACCGCAAACTTACCTTGCATTTCGAAACCGGCTCTCTTAAGAAAGTGGCTAGTTTCACACTGTTTAAAGCCCCTGGGGAGCCCTTAAGTAAACCAAACTCCCTTCCCTGCTCCACAGTCCCAGCGAGATAATGACTTGTGGTTAAATGAAATACCACATGTTAGCCACACTGCTTTCTGGAACTATACTTTCTGGTGAATTGCGGTTTTATGCTAGCATAACAGTAACAGATCGTTGCTCAGCCATTTATTCACGGATTTTGACATTTCAACATTCAACATATAAAACAAGTTGATATTTCAGGTACGTCATTATGATAATACAATTTGTTGGCCGACAGATTAAATTAAGCAACCAAATATTATGTTTGAAATCTCTCAGGCAGAGTGACCTTCGCTCCTTTTAGGAACCAATTATAGAATAAGTGCTTATAAATATCTTAATCCCCTAGGGCAGGCTCCCCAAAATGATGTGTCCCTACCCGAGTTGCCTACATAGTTGGTCGGGTTGGTCTTACTCGGAGGAGTGTTCACGTCATGCCACACACATCAACTCATGTTTAAATCCATGTTTGACTTTTTCAACACGCCGCCAGAGGGCGCTCTA